GACATGCAGCAGAACACTACGATTCACCTATCATCAGAAGCATGAAATTTATAATAAAAACTGCGAAGCACGGGGAAACCAAAGTAGTGTATTTGCTGTGCTAAGAAGAAGTACAATTATATGTTTCAAACACTGAAGAAAGCAGCGACATGTATAAGATGAAATTTAGCTAAACATCATTAGTGATGCACAATAAATGAAGCTCAACGTGATGTTAAATTGTCACCGGATCCGTAACATTTGTACAAACGGACATAAAGCATTTTCAAATTTTATAATTAGACTTTACATGCTTTTTAGCGATGGTCAATTGCACATCTAATAATTACAAAATATAGCCATGCAAATGCGTGCACCCGCATGAGTCCCAACGAGCATGTTGTATGCCCACATGTAACGTTTAAGGATGCCGCGTGGGTCAAGAAATGAACTTAAATTCAAGCCCAATCATTCTATATCAATAGATAGGAGTTGACACGGCTCAAACTGTTGAACAAATATACTGTCGCGACATTGACCGTAATATTTCTTTTATACATTCATATTTGGCCTTTAAGGTCTATAACAATGAAAATTACAAATAAAGGCATAACGTCAATAACGAAGCCGATCCTCTGTTGGCAAATAAACAAAGTCGATAAGATTCAACCAATAAAGTAAAATTGCCCATAAATGATGGTCGTATTGACAAAAAAATCTTAATCGAAGGGGACCATAAAAATTTAAAATGACTCCCAAATTCCCATTGAAATTCAAAACCCAAAAATCATCGAATCCTAAATATTTAAAATTGAAATAAATCACCAAAAAACTTAAAGCAAAATACCTATCCACTCTCCGCAAGAATTTTTCTAAGTGGATAAGCTTGAAAATCACTTCGGCTCACAAACAGCAAATGTCTGGTCGAGAATATCTCAAGGATTCATTTTCAATCCGTCTCTTGCCAATAAGGACGTGACACGCATGTTCCCTAACGACATTAAATAATTGAGTAATGAATCAATAGGATATGACCGATAGGGCACAAAGCTCTCTGTCAGCTAAACTGTGTTTAAATTTAACCCCTTAGATAAATATCCACCCCATGCTTGCAAGATACCCTTGGGTGAAGCAAGTCATGGCTACTGATAAGGATCCTTCGATCAGGATGAGTCAACTAACTCCTCTGACTAAGTTGACCAGGGATCATGATGACCCGGGATGGCGGAACCATGTGATCTTGATTGAGTCTATCATTACACCCTCCCCACCATCCACTTTAAGTTCAAGATGGTAAATTTTTAATTTTAAACATTAAATTTCCAAATACCTAAACTCTGCAACTACTATATGTGGGATACTATGTATCTATTTGACGACTAGCCTTAAACATAAGTTTCTCTCTTGCCATTGGGAGGGGTAATTAACTATAGAGACTTCTTGCGCCTTTATGAAACTTGAACTCAGATCATAAAGTCCTCGCAAAAAGAGGGCGAAATATTTGGATAGTGCTTATTCAGAACCCAATTTGCCTTCTAAAAATTTGCATCAGAAAATACTCATTAAACTCTTCTTGATTACTCGACTAAGAAATAAAGGGGCCGTGAAGAGGCCGGGGCGTGAATTTTTGAAGCCCACATACTTTTATGCAATTCCTATATTTAATATTATTTTACTCTTTTAATATTGGATTTTAATTTTACTTCATGCAATTTTTCACTTGTTATTCAACCTTTTGTACAAATTTTTTTTTTCATATGTATATAAATTTGTTATTTCATAGTCCAATAAAAAAGTTAATATGTCATCCTTTAACATACTATTTAGGTATTATATAAAAATAACTTTTAACCATTATTTTCACTTTACAAAACTTTTAGATTTTGAGGTTTACGCCTTAACGTCTTGAGGCTTACACCTCGCATCATGAACAAAACAATCTTAATACATAATTGCATAATTTTAAACCTTGTTGTAGAAAACGTAGACCCTGGTGACTTTGGTAGAGGTGGTGGGTGAAAGGGGATTTAATTGGACCAATTTTGGTTTACGATGCAACTGAAAAGATCTGTCTGATCAGAAATTGGTTTAAAATTGTACAAGATAGATAGAAATAGCATTATGATGATAAAATGGAGACTTTGTGCATATGAAAATCAAATAAATGAAAGGCATCGACAAATTTGAAAAAGAATGGAAGTTGATTCCAATGTATGTTGGACCATATAAGATATTTGACAGGATCGGGAAGTCTACCTACATCTTACAATTTATAGAGCATATGTCTGATATCATGATGTATTTCATGTATCTTCTTTGAGGAAATGAGTATTCGATTTTGGAAATCAAATATCTATAGAAGAAGTTGAGATATGTTTGAATTTTACCTAGAAGAACCAAAGAAGATTTTGGCTTATGATGCTAGAAAGTTAAGAAATAAAATTTTTCGATAAAAAACAGATAAAAAAGATAGGCTACTTGGGACAAATAAGATAAAATGAAGCTATATCCTGAGCTTTTTTGATGATATGAGTTTTAAAATGTTGAAGACCATTTTTTTACGGAGGGGAGAATTTTAACACATACAGATCTGTGTATCATTCTATCTATTATGACCTGAGCTAATTTAAGGTAATCCCGTAAATTTTTGTATTTAAATATTCTCCATATGTATGGGAATGTTTTGTATGTATAAGTTTGCATGTGTTCTGAGGATGGTCCCGAGGTTATGTGTGCATGTTTTGAAAGTCTAGAAAATTTTCTCTTGGGCTGCAGAGTCAAGCTTGGGTTTTTGGCCAAATTAATTCAACGATGTCGTAACAAGATCTGTCGAATTTTAATATTAAAAATGTCATTTTTCAGTAAATCAATTCATTTCATCTATTTGGGGTTGTCTTTTTGATAGAAGAGAGGATTTCCAGAATGGGCGACTTCGTTATATTTTCTATTGATTGTCTGCTAATGGAAGTTATGCAGTTTGAGGTAGGTTCCATTTTGCCTATCTCAATTTTGAAAAATATGAAATATTTTTTATTTTTCTGATTTAATTTTTATTTTTGTAATTTTAAAAACGTGATTAATTTTTTATTTGTAAAACTTTTACCATATAACTTTTTGTATATTATAGAGATAATGATTCTGAACATTCAATTTTTTATTTTTGGAAATTTTACAGCAATGGTTTCTGAAAATGTGCTATTTTAATTGTCGAGAAAATCATTCTGACCTTAGAAACTGATGTGTAGTATAATTAATGCTTCAAAATATTGTTCTAAATAATCTCTGACAATTTAGTTATATTTTGAAATAGTGAATTTTTTTCTCAGTAGTATGCTCTTCTTCCCAACGTTAATTTTTTTATTAAATTCTGAAATGATTTATGTTTCTCTTAATGCAATGCAATAAATTATATGCTTATCTATTTAAAATGTATGATTTTTAGGATATCTGGTGTGTATGGTGGAAGTTTTGTTCTGGTGCTAAAGGCATAAATTCTATTTTGTGCTAGATGCACAATCTTTTATGGTATTGAATGCACATTTTGTCTAGTGATCAACATTGGGAGTCTTAAGAGCCTATTTTCTTATATACCAGCGCGGGAGTCATAGGGTTAGAGTTCTCTAATTTTTGTTCTGATGTGAGGTATAAGGGCTTGAGGGAAATTTGTAATCTTTTCTTTTGACATATGAAGTATTTGTTTATTTAAGTTTTCATATCTACAAGCTCACTACCGTATTCCACACAACAATTGTTATGAACTTCTTTTAAAACTCATCTAAATGCTTAAAAAATAAGTTATTTGAAAATTTAGATAAGTGTGACCTGCAAAGCTATGTTGGTTCAGTTTATCTGCATTCTATATAAGGGTCTCAACAAGGGAAAGAGTCCGTTGAGTCAAAGATTTGATTTGTCTGAGTCTGGATAGATATTTCTTTTTCTGAATTTTTGTGTAGTCATAGTTAATTATTTAAATTACTCTATTATATAAATTACTCTGTCGTAATGTACTGTAGTGTAATTATTGTATATATATATTGGTGAGAAATGAAAAGAAATTTTGTGGATGAGTTATTTTTGTATATTAGCAATTATTGCCAAATCTATAGTCTATTGTTGGTTTTCTATATTATATTGGAAGAAAAAATATGAAAATTTTCCCTGCACATCGATCTAGGGTTGGCCTGTCATAAGTGAACACTTCTATAGATGTAAGCTTGGTTGAAATTGAACCACTTAAATTTTTATTTCTTTATATGTGTTTTTTCTTGATCTATTTTTTATTCTATGATGTTACTCATCATAGTCGATCCTAAAATATTTTTAAATCGAGGTTTTTTATCACGCTCGTAACAATAGGTGCACTTGCGTGTGAGCGGTGAAGTGCTTTGTCAAATAGTTGTCATTTTAGTGTGCCAAAAAATTGGCATAGAGTGTTGTGTATATATATAAAGAATTATATTATTGGTATTTTTTTGTCTATTGATGTATCTGTCTTTAGTGCACTTTTCTGCAATTAAGTTTGTGCTAACTAACAGATGAGAAAGTAACGTAATTTAAATGGTTTATATTTATTGCAATGTTTTGTTGTAGATTCCAAAACATATTAAAAAAAAAATTGTAAAGAAGATTTAAATTACTAAACTAATTAATTTTCTCATTATTGATCTTCTACAGTTACTTTGCCTCTTGTTTGGTAGTGCAATCTGAAAATAAAGGAAAAAATGAAAGAAAAAAATGTTGTTTTCAGATTAGATAATTACTGTTTTATGTTTAAAAAATTTTGAATGCAGAAAAGTCACATGAGCAATAAAATTTATGTGACTGATAGAAGATGCCTTTTTAATCATGAGCAAATGCTACAAGTTCTTTACTCTATTCATTGTAGTAACTATCTACAAATAAAATGCTATCGACCCAGTACTTTGTATATTAAAATAAAAGCCAAGTTCACTGTTTCTTATTTCTGAATCAAACGCAATTTTTGTGACAGTAGTTACTAGAAAGATTTGTTCCTTCTGCAGCCTATCGGATTTTTTAATTGCTCTCCTGCTGTTGATGTGCCGCCAAGTAATAGTGATGCCGAGCTCAAAGAGACTGGAATTTCTAAGCCCCAAAATGGTTTGCTGGCAAAGCTTTGATGAAAGATCCAATGGAAGGACATGCCACTAATATGTTATATAATAAATGCGGTCTTGCTTCGTTCTTGAATTTGCTACGCACCGGCTAATGTGTTGTTATTGTGATAAATGAGAAAAAAAAAATGCTTTTTTTAAATTAGTTAAATTTGTCACTGTGATTTGAGAACACTTGCTGTTTTGCTACCAGTCGAAATGCATGTTGTATTTTCTGGTGGCTATGACCCACTTGTAAGTAAAGAGTTGGATTTTGTAATAATTGCGTTGCACTGGGAAGTTGAATAAGATGTTTGATCAGGGTTATATGAAGATATTCGAATTCAGACTCATTAAAATATGTTAAAAGTTTTGGTGGTCGAGGATGAGTGGGGAATATATGAAAACTTTCAAATGCAGGCTCTCGGGTTGGATTAATTTGCAGTCTGATTAAAAATGTTGCTCGAGTTTACTTGCGTAGTTGTCTACCGTTGTTTTAGGATGCGGTTGGAATAGCTGCAACTGTCTGTTTAGCAGGTTGTAAAATTATTGTACAAAAAGTTGCTTTCCGAAGTAATTGTATAAAAAGTATTATATTTTGTTTTGGAAATTTAAGTGGAGTTATTTCGTTGGAGCTGTAGGAGAATAAATTAATTTTATACTCTATATATATATTGAGATGAAAAAAATTTATTTAAATAACACTTCTTTTTTGAATTTATATGATAACAAATTAAGAATTAGAAATTAAAATTATATTTGATTTTATGAAATATTTTTGAACTTTTAATTATTATAGTTTTTTTTTACAATGTACTATCATAGTTTAAATTAATCTTAAAAAATATACCTCTATTACTTCATAATAAATGTATTTTTTAATAATAATAAATCTATGCTAATTTTTTTAATTAAATTGAAAGATTAAATAAGTATGTAATTACAGGCTTGGATCTATTTTTTTTGAAGAACTGCTTAATGCATTAAAAAAAGATAAAAAAAACCAAGTACCAAAGTTTAAGTGATATAACCCCTATCACTTTCCTCCTTTAACAAAGAATAAAAGGTAGGAGGTACCTTATTGACTTCTAGAACATCACAAAGGAAATTACCCTTTAAAGCATGGTTAGCACACCAATGAGCTAACTTATTACATTTTCTATTAACAAAATGAAAAAGGATAACCTCAAAATCTTGAAGAAAGTTCAAGTCTTTAGAAGCTTTATCCACTAGCCGTTTGTCCAACTTCATCAAGTTTTGAAAATGAGAAATAACATTAGCATTGTCTTCTTCCACTATTATGCCTTTAGCATTGAACATCCATTCTTCAATAACTTTACTCAATGAACGAACAGCCATCCATTCTAGTGCTCCAATATCCAAATGCATTAGTGAAAAACTAAAAGATAAAAGCATTCTACCATTGTGGTCTCTAAAGATACCACCAATCCCAGCTTCATTAGAGCTTTGAAGAGAAGCATCTATGTTTACTTTAATCCATCCGGGTGGAGGGGGATGCCAAGAAGAAGAAATCATATCATGCTGGTTAGCACCCCAATGGTCCGAATGAAAATTAGAAAATGAACTAGATGCATAGGTAATGGCATTTGTCACAATAATGCTGTCTCCCACCTCTTTGCCTTCATGGATTAACAAATTTCTACTCTTCCAAGAGTTGAAAACTAAGGAACAATAGAGATTCACTAAAAAAGGATTAACCTCTCCTTGTTTTATCAAATAAGAAATATCATTTGTTAGATTATTGAGGATAGGTAACTTAAAACCCCAACAGTTGGCCTTTTTTATGAGCATTTCTAATTTTAGGCAATTAATTGCCACATGCTCTCCATCTTCAATCAAAATACAACCTCTAGGATAAAGGTTACACCCAATCAACCTTCTATGTAACAAGAAATCCGTAGTAGGTAAAGCATTCTTTAAAAGCCTCCACCAAAAATGTGAAACACGAGGATTTAATTTAAGCTTTTTGATGCAGCTCCAATTATTTAAAAACGAGTTGTCAACCTCAATCTTGCCAAAACTAGCAGTTTTTACCAAAGCTGAAATAGTTTTACTGGAGTGTACCTTTAATAATTCCAATTTTTCTTCAAGATTATCCACTTCAATCTTCAAATTGCAAGTATGCTTGACTAGTTCATCCCCAAAGTAATTATGATGTTCTTCTGTGATCCAAGCTCCTTCTGTAATGAAGCTAGAGAGATTAGTAAGGTTATCAATCTCAATTGAAATAAAAGTAGGCCAACTTTCCAATCTTCTATCAATTATCCAAATGTCCTTCATGATATGTATGGATACCCCATCTTTAATGTTCCATATCACTATTTGTTTTAAAGCTTTAGCTCCACTAAGGATCAATTTCCAAGTTGAAGAAGAGTTCTGCCTTCTTTCCTCATCACAACCAATTTTACCATATTTTACTGATAGAGTTCTACTAAGCAATGAATTTGGCTCGTTTAAGAACTTCCATAACAATTTTTCTCTAAGTGGTTCTACTGCAGACTGGATGCCAAGGCCTCCTTGATTCTCAGGTTTACACACTTCTTTCCAAGCCACATAGTGCAAACCATTTTCTCCATTGTTTTTATTCCATAAAAACTCTCTGCATAATTTGTCTAGCTTTTTGAGAACAGATAACGACACCAATGATAATGTAGGTAGAAGACGTGTAAAGCTTGAATCACCAATTTAATGAGGGTAATTCTACCAGCCGTTGAAATGAGTTTCTTACCCCAAACATCCAATTTACCATCAGCTTTTTCAAGAATATTAGAAAAATCTGAAGCCACAAGCCGCCTCAAAGTGATTTTATTATCCAAATACCTGAGCTCTTTGACTTCCTTGATTCCCAAGAGCATAGAGATACTCCTCTTCCTTCTTTCCATATTTTTGTTGAAAATGTTGGAAGATTTATTAACATTAATAACCTGCCCTGTCCAGCTGCAGTATTCCACCGTAATCTTCTTAATTTTCCTTATGTTCTCTTTTTTTGCGTTTGAGAAAATTAAGATGTCATCGGCATAAAGTAGGTGTGAGATCCTAGGATCCATAGGAGCAACCTTTAAACCCAAATTTCTCCCTTTGGAAAGAAATGCTTTAGTGAGTAATTGAGAGCAAAGAATGAATAGATATAGGGATAAAGGGCACCCCTGTTTAAAGCCACTTCTCCCTACATATCTTTCCAAAACCACTCCATTAACTTGTACCAAGAAAATTGGATCAGTAACACAATCCATTATTAGATTAGAAAATCTACTAGGAAAGCCAAAGTAAATCAAAATTTGCTTGAGGGTGTCCCAAGCCATACTGTCGTATGCTTGTTCCATATCAAGTTTGACTACCACCATTCCTCTTTTAGACTTAGAAAATCTGAACTTATGGAAAAGTTCTTGAGCTAGAAGCATGTGATCAGATAAAGCCCTTCCTTTTATAAAAGCTACTTGCTCTTCAGTTACCAGGCAATGAATGACTTTCATTAACCTAATCAATAAGATCTTCGTAACAATTTTGTATATGGACATACAAAGGCTTATAGGCCTAAAATTGGATGGAGCTAGAGGGTTATTTATTTTGGGTAATAGTATTACCAAAGTTTCCTTCCAATAAGAAGACATCTTACCTGAATTGAAGCAACGTTGTATGGCTTTCCACACATCCCTCCCAATCATAAACAGGCCAATTGGACAATTTGCAGTCTCTATGCTTCCATTTCTCCCCAAAAAACTAAGAAAAACTGTCTCTTATAATAGCCGGATCTTCAATCAAATCACCAACCTCATTCTTCAGTTGCCTTATTGAGTTGGCATTTCTCCTTCCATTTGCATCAGCATGAAAGAAAGAGAATTCATATCCCCCTCTTTCATCCCTTTTGCTTTTTCCCTTTGTCTCCACCAAGTACTTAATCTAGCAAGAGTAGAATTGAATTCAGAAATTTTGTTTCTCAGGATCAGATTTTTGCTGGCCGAAAAATCTTGATCAGAAGCTTCTTCAAGCTGTAATTCTTCAATTTCCATCTTCAAATTCTTCTTTAATACTTCAAGTTTTTGATGCTTTGCCTTACTCCAAAAAATAAGTCTTTTAAGACTCTATTCATCCTCTTGTTTAGAGCTTCCATGTCATCACCTCTCACTGGTTTAGCCCAGGAATTTCTGACCACCGAAGTAGCTGCTGCATAAGATAGCCAAACGTCTTCAAATTTGTGTAATTTACTGCCATTAGGTAGTTGATTAAACAGCTTCAAAACGATGGGACAATGGTCAGAGGCGATTCTATTCAAATGCCTTACTGATGCTTGATTGATTTGTTCCAATGCCTTCGAATTCAGCATGCATCTATCTAGTCTTTCTAGTTTCCGGGAACTTCCACTTTTATTATTACAGCATGTAAATTTTGAACCAAGAATACCTACATCGTGTAAGTCATTCCTTTTCATAAAGGATTTCATCTCCATTGGCCCATCTGAGAAAGAAAAATTTTTCCCACCTTTCTTCTCCTCTTGAGAAAGTATACAATTGAAGTCCCCACCGGCTACAAAGGGAACTTCCTGATTAGCAACTCCATCCATAAAACTCCACAAATCTCTTCTACCTTGAACTTCTCTGCTACCATAGTTAGTATCAACCATCCATTTGCCTTTGTTGAAAATCTCCAGTTCACCCAAAATGCATTGATCCGAGGCCTTTAACAAGGAAAAATCTGCTATATTAGAATTCCAAATCACCATGATACCACCAGAATTTCCTGTAGAAGGATGAAGGATGAAATTCCATTCCTTACCCATCATCTTACCAAAGTCTTCTTTAAATAGAGAAACCATTTTTGTTTCAACAATACCAACAAAGAATACATCCCATTCTTTTATAAAATCCTTCAAATATAAGGAGACCTCTTTCTTGTTAGCCCCCCTACAATTCCAAAAGCTGATGGAACTCATTTTGATTTGAATTGGGAGATACCCCCTCCCTTAATCTTGTTAACACTATTTCTTGTTTGTCTTGACGTTAAATTTAAAGGTCCCAAGTACCTTACTTCTTTAGCAAATTTAATTTTCTGAGAAGAAGTCTTTCCCATGTTCACAAAATTGTTTTCTTTATGCAAGAATTCATTGTTTTTCTCAACATTTCCTTGAGCAGTAGAAACTATGTCTTTATTTAGACATTTCTCCATTTTCACTGTAACTTCACCTTCTTCTATTTCTTCATCCAAGGGTTCCATATGAAAATCTACACCAATGTCTTCTTCACATAAATCACTTAGCAGCTCAAACTTGTTGGCTGGAGATACAAAAACCTTCCGGTTTGAATCAGCCTCTAAATTCCCTTCAAGAATTCTGTGTTCTATTATAACAATAGTTTGGACTGAATTTGAAAATTCAGCAGCACCTGAATTCATTGCAGC